TGTGTGTGTGTGTGTGTGTGTATGTGGGTGGGTGGGTGGGTGCAGGGTGGGTGGGGTGTGTGTGCGCGCGCGTGTGTGTGTGTGAGCGCGCGGGCGCGCATATGTTTTATTCCATATAACTTATCTATTGACTGATATACACTGATGTACACTGAGTGACAATGCCTAAAGAATATGATTGAAAAAATCAAAATCTGAGATACTTAAGTTTACGTATGTACGTTCATATTAGGAATGTGAGAATAATAATATTGAGGGAAGGAAACATATTGTTATTTGAGTTGTTACAGTCCTTTGTCTAATTTAGCAGAGCGAAAATGTTGCTCCACGATTTTCTGCATTTATCTTATAATTCTGAAGATCTTGTAAACTATTTATGTGATATGCAAGTGATACGACCAGAAGTTATGTATCCGCGATGTCAACAAATAGTGCATTTACGATATACGTCATCATCGCTTATTATCCAATGTGTTAATAATTTTTATAAACAAGTTCGAGGACGTAAAAGAATAAGAAAAGTGTTCAATAAGAGAATACCGCAATTTTTTAGATTAATGGCTTCTTTATATCCATTAAATAATGTATTATCAAATAATGAATAAAATGTAATATATTCTTCATGTTGGAGTGTATATATGTTGTATTGAAAACACACACACACACACACACACACATGAGGCCCTACGGACTCCTCTCCCGCACCCTTCCCATCGGTAGAGGTTCACATAACATTACAATATATAAAAAATTGTTTCGTTCATAACTTTTCAACGAATAACGAGCGACGGGAACGGTCAATGACCTTGACCTTCTTGAGGATCAAGGTCAAGGTCAAGGTCACTTAGAAGTCATTTGAGGCTGACTGTGTAAAGGGAAACATTTACCATATTTTTTAATACGATTCTAATTTTTCTGATTAATATGCTTCTTATTTCTGTTACTTTTCTAAATATTACATTTTCTAAGTATTATATTCTTATTTCTCTTATTTTTCTAAATATTACATTCGTATTTTGCTACTATTATTATATCTAGATCTAGCAGCGCCAAGTGTTTTTACATGAAAAATTTTTCTATTTAAATTTATATTAATGTTTTGTATAATATTTTGAAAGAGAATTTTAAATAACCACTATACTTTAGTTGGAAGAGGAAATGTCTTTGTGTGTGTGAATGAATTGTGATATAATAATTTCATTTAAGAGAAATTTAAATCATTTGGATTGGAATAGCAAGATCCTTCAATAAGATATACTGTACATACATATATGGTACTTAGGTTTCATTGCACAAAAATTAAAGATGATACCATTTGGATTAAGTAAATAATAATAAAGATAGTATCACTTGGTTATCATTACATCTATGTATACACATATTTATGTATATACAGGGTGTTTGATAAGTAATGATAATGCTTTCGCACAGGAGCAGAATGGACTAAACTGACAAGGAAACACAACCAAGTGAATCTATCCGATTTAAATGAGCTTTTAGTATGTTGTTCTATGGACAACAATAGGAGACACGTGTCAGGAGACGTGGTAATGTCTCCGGCCATGTTCAAAAAAAAAGTGAAAGGACATAAAGACACTACAAGTCCCTTATCCTGAGCCACCAAAGTCCATTTTTTGGGGGTACAGAACACACACACACACACACACACAACCAAAATATAAAAAATTTTAAATCGCACGTAATATATCCCGAAGGTGGCATCGCCACGAGTAATTTGAACCAAAAAAAATAAAAATCGGTCAAGCCGTTCTGGACATACAAGCGGTTAAAAAGTGATGAATCATCACTGATATATAGGCTGCGGATATTTATGCAAAAACATATAACTGAATATTTTTCATAAAATGCATATTTTACATAAATGCATATTTACATAAATCGAACATAATAACTGCATAAATTGCATATTAAGGCATTTAAAGCGAAATCTATTTTTGGATCCGTGTTGATGTCTGGATCCGTATTGATGTTTGGATCCGTATTGATTGAATGACAAGAGGTATGAGCGAGAGATCTTGCGAGGAAAGAAAAGAGGAGTCGTTCGGCTGCTCTCACCGCGTTTAGACATAGCTTTGTAAGACATAGTTGAATATTATTATATACATAATTGATAGTGTGAATAGTATTTAACATAATATTTATTACCTATTAATGTGAATAGTTTTTAAAAAGATGCCGGAAGTGAAGAAAAATAAAAATGTGCTAATAAAAAGCTGGATCGACCAAATCAGCGACAAATATTTAACATATGATGGAAATTCCGTTCATTGCAGTGGATATAATAACAAAGAGGTAATAAATAATATTATTAAAAAATAATATTTAAAATATTATTAAATAAATAATATCTATTTGAGACATCAATTTTATTAAAATTATAATTCTAATGTTTTATAGATTACATGTGATAGAAAATCACAATTGACTCAGCACGTTTCAACAGCCACACATAAAATGAATGTGTTACATTTAGAAAATAATGAAGAACATAATAAAGAAAGTAATAATTCAAATGAAAAGCGGCAATCAAACTATACAAATAATTTTTATGTCGATCTATGCAAAGCTATGATTGCTGTTAAGATGCCCTGGCGTTGTGTTGATAATGAGACATGGAGAAATTTCTTCACTAAATACACACTCCAAAAAATTTCAGATGAGTCAACTTTGCGGAAAAATTATTTGGACGTCTGCTACAATTCGGTCATCGAAAATGTTAGGTCGGATATTGGTGATAATTATATTTGGATATCTGTTGACGAAACTACAGATAAACTTGGTCGTCAAATCGCAAATTTAATAGGTAATAATGATAATGACTTTTTACTTAAATTTTACTTAAATATTATTAATTAAAAGGACGATGGATATATTTATTAGATAAATTGCCTATGACAAAAACAAATTTAATTCCTTATTATATAATTACTTGTTGTATTTTACATAACATATGTTTATTACGAAATGATTATATTGAAATCCCTATTATTATTCCTGAAATATTGCATGAAATGGAACCATTAGGTATCGCTAATGATTTGAAAGAAGAAGGAAATATAAAACGAAATAGACTGACGGAAATAATTGCCCATGATAATTTTGAAAGAATTAACTAGAATCTATAAGTACAAAACACACAATGACATATTGTATATTAAATTAATTTTTGTATAACAGTAAATAAAATAAATTTACCGAATAGTAAATAAAATGTATGATTTTGTTTCTATATCCTTTATTTTGAACAATTTAAACAATGTTATTATCAAGTTATCTCTGAATTTGAGTTCCGGTTAGGACAGCTCAATACGACATTTTCTTTTATAATGAAATTATGTGATAGATAACAACGAATTTATCAGGCTAAATTTATAGTTTTTTAATTGTTTAGATGTTAATCCAGCCAAAAAATTTCGAAATATGAATTTGCTGTTTCAGTTAAACTCAACATTACGACATTCGTCAGACAATTATAATAGCGATTAAATCGTGTTCTCTTATATTTTTTAGTGGTTTTTTATGTCTGTTAATCGAATATAATGTAATAATCTGAGCAATTAGTAGATAATTAGTTAATAATGGTTGAATTTAAAATTGTAAATTAATATTGAGAATGACCTAATTGTGGTCGAAAAGTTTGTACAAATAACCTTTCTGTTATATTGTTTAATAATAGTTAAAGAATACAGGACTCTTAATATTAAAATTACAACAAAGTAATTCACAAGGCTAATAAGAGTCAAGAAAACAATAAAAGAGTTCAACAAATTTAGATTTTAATATACATGAATATCTAAGAAACATATCAAAATTATTATAAGAACATATTTACCGTTATGAAGTTACAACAATTATTTTAATAATATATTTTACGCTCGAGATTATAAACACTACATGTTTCGGCCTTAAATTTAAGTCTCTTCAGAATGTACACAAAACGCATTAAAAACTATTAAAAGAATTCGGAAATCGTTACATAATTAGAAAAGATGGATATAATATTACGAGAATCAGAAATCGACAGTATCGAATTATAAAACGTAATCAGTAATAAATTTGGAACAACCATACAATGGAGATAAGAATATAAAGTAATGTTAACTCGATAAAGAGATGTTATAGATTCAAATAATAATTTTTATTATAAAAAACACTTAAACCTATATAAAGTATTTTTTTAATCAATTAGGTAATAATAATAATAATTCCTTGTAAGCCAACGTTTTTAAATTTTTGATAACTTTAAGCCTTTAACTTTTTGTGCTGTAATTAATACATATATATTTGTACTTTTTCATATAACATGACATACACTTAAACGTGTCTGTTAAAATGACTTTAATACATTGTTTATCGTGTAATATTATAAAGTTAAACACAATAATCTCATTCCCTTAAAATACGAGAGAATCATTTTAGGTGCATTCCGTTTTCGCTTATAGTTATGGTGACTATTTTCTTAAGGAAAATAAAGGACAAAATTGAATTTAGAAGGAATAAATAAATCTAAAGAACAGCTACTTAAAATAAAAACTATCCTTTTCAATAAAGGACATATGGTCACCTTACAGTTATAGTGCTTGTAAGCATCATTTGTTCTTGTTTAACATTTGATGGACAACAAGGATAAAATGATACTTACAGCGTGTGAGCATGAAAACGGAGAGAGAATGCACCCTTTATCACATAACAAGCTTATAATGATCACAGGAAAGCTTTGGCTTGAAAAGTGAATGAACACAATATTGAAATTAAATCATACAAAAATTATTTTAGTTTTTCTAAAACATAACTTCTATTATACTAAGAGACACTTAATTTAAACATATATAGAATTTTCGTAGTAAATTAAAAAGACATTAATCCCTTAGCTGTTGAATGAAAAAAATATCATGTTTCAACGTTTTTCAACTTTTAATAATTTTAAATCTTTAATTTTTATATATACGTTAATTTTAAATCTTTAATTTTTATATTTACATTTATATTTTTATATTTACATCTCTTCTTCTTTTTTTAGTCTATTCTCTCTTTATGTATATACACTACTGTTATTTCCGATTTTCAAACATTTTTTCTTTTATTTCTCTTAATATTTCTAATTTTGTTGCTCTGTATTGGGCAGTTTCTTCCCTTTTTAATCGTTTTTCTTCTAATGAAGCTGTCAAGTAATCCACTCTTGCTTCAGTTAAAGAGATCTTTTTTTTCTCTGTATACAGAATATACTATATTTAGTTATATGTAAATAAAAATATATATACTTGAATAAAAAAATGTTCTTTATAATTACTTACTAACTGCAGGTGATTTATTTTCATCATTATCAGTTAGTGGAGAACGTTCAGATTCTTTAATATTCGATCCTGCTACAACTAATGGTTTTATCCAATGTTTTTTTCGAAAAATATCATTTAATATCTAAAACATAAATCGTGTGTTTCTATCTTGTAATATATAATATTTTAATATGCACAAAAACGGTCTAACAGTTTTACAATTATAATTACTATTGTGTTAACATATTACATCTAGATATATCCATTCCTTTTTATCGTTCCCACTTTGAGCATTATGATCCATAATTTGACGATATCGTCTCTTTAACGCATCCATTTTATTATTGCACTGATTGCCTGTAAACTTGTATTTCTTTTCTTTCATGCATCGAGAAATCTCAATCCACATTTTTTTATGATTACCCTTTTCAAGCATATATGATTTTTCTTTATATAAAGATATTAGTAAAAGTATAGCACTGTGTCCCCATCTTTCTTTATTTACTTCTAAAATGGAAAAAGTAATTATTATATTTTACTTTCTGCTACTCTTACTACTATTTTAAACTTACCTGTATCTGACATATCTGAAATGTCTTCAGTGTCGGAAATAATATTATCATGAAGTATATTATCAACAGTGTCATTACTAACGATCTTCCTTGTTACATTTGAACAACTAGGTTTACTAATATCATTTGACATCATATTTGTTGGTGGAATAGGATTATGTGTACCTTTAGAATTGAGTAATAATTTCGCATTTTGTAATAACGTAGTAGCAAATATCAAGTCTGTAAAAAAAAAGAGAGTAATAATAATATAAAGGCTACGTTCAGCAAAGAAGCAGCTTTGCAACTGTTGTAAAATTCTTAGATATGACTAGTTTATATATTTAGATCCAGTGAGGAACTAAGGGCAAGATCAATCATATTAAAGAATTTTACAACAGTTGCAAAGCTGCTTTTTCTACTGAACGCAGTCAAAGACACATAAGAAGGAAATTATCCCAATAACTATCATATTTTTATAACATAAATATTATGTTAAGGACTGCTATTGTTAAAATATGAATTATTATTATAATTATACCATTATGAGCACGGTTATACACTTCCATTGGTACTTTTATGACATATTTTTTATTTGTTGTTTCATCAATTAATGTTAAATTATTCAATTTTTGGTTAGTGTTTCGTTCATGTTGAGAGATGGTATCTCCATTTTTAGATGGTATCTCCATTTTTTTGAACTTTTACAGATAGATTAATTTGTACATACAATTTACCTGAAATTAGTGAATATGAAATTTTTTGGATTAATTGAAATTTCTCTTCGTTTTCTCCAATACCGCGTTTCACTCACTGTTCGAATGGGATAGTGCATGCATACGATACCAGTATTCACTCACCGTTACCATTACTGTGCGTTACTGATATTACTGCTGGAAGAAAAAAAACGCAGCGCCAGTAATTTTCACTGCTACCAACTGTATTGTTTTTACTGGTAGTAATCAAACTTATTTTCGAACACACTATTAGTCGATAGTATCTAGTCACTAGGTATTAAATCATATTTGTGCTGAATAAATTATATAAACAATTCGAAACATCTCTATTGACAAGATAGCAGTGGAGCAGTACATTAGGTGAGCGACTCAGAAGCCTGGACTGTGGATGGAGTCACGAGTTCAAATCCCATCGGATGTTAAAAGTTTTTTCCTAGGTATTAGTGGCCCGTTCAGTACTTAAAGAGGACATAATAAAAGATGGAGAGGAAATATAATTAATAAAAGTTATCTCTAGAAATTAGGTAGAAAATATTTAGTCGAAAAAATGTTTTTTTCCTATTTAGTTGCTGTCTAGTGTAGGATAGACAGCTACTAGATAATTTTTCGTATACAACTGCTAGGAGAACATTACTATCTAGTAGGTAGCTATTATTTTCTACATGACTATGTAATATTTTATGTCTAGCTATTAGCTAATTTTTCTCGTACAACTACTGGGAGAAGTGAGCGTTACATTACTAGCTAGTAGCTAGCTATGATTTTCCACGTCGTAACTGTGTAACATTTTATATCTAGCTATTAGCTAATTTTTCTTGTACAGCTACTGGAAGAAGTGAGTGTTACATTACGAGCTAGTAGCTAGCTATGATTTTCCATATATGCCATGACTGTGTAACATATTTTGTCTAGCTGCTAGCTAATTTTTCTTGTATAGCTGCTAGGAGAAGTGAGCGTTACATAGCTAGTTAGTAACTAGCCAGAAATACTAGACGGCAGTTAACTAAGACACAACTTTTCTATCTCTAATGGTTAGCTAGCCATGAGGTCAATTTCTGCTTGGACACATGCGTTTGTTAGTTTAGCAGAAACCCCGTTATCTCATATTAGGAACCTGTCCCATAAGAGGCGACTTTACCCTATGGAAATGCATTATATAAAATGAATGATAAAAAACTCAATTTTTTAAATATAAGTACATTATGTATTTAAGATTATTTGCGTAGAGTTACGTTGCGATGCATGAACTGGTTGTCCAATACATAAACAAAATATTTATTTGTTCTATATCTTTGTAACACTAATCAGTGAATCGCAATGAAACTTTACATAAATTATTTTATGTGAATATTTAAAGTATTAAAGTTATAAAAAAGAATAATGTAAATTTCTTTATCATTAAAAAAATTTTAACTTTTAACAATAAAACTAATAACAATTAAAATTAATAAACTCTGAAAATGTGTTATTAAAAAAAACATAAACTTATTTACATAACTTTCATACGTATAAATTTTATTTGAAATGGAAATATTAAATATACGTCCAAATTTAATTGTCTTTGCAGAGACTGTGCGTCTAATACATCCTTAAATTGTACACTTAACATCTTTTAGATGCTTCTTAAAAAAAAAACAATGTAACAAAAATTAGTTTAAAATTAATTTAAAAAAATATATTCTCTTCGAAATCGTTTAACTTTTATCTGAAATACATTTTTCCATATCGTTTCTAAATAATTTGATGCAGCAGTTAAAACGAGACATTTTATATATGTATATGTATATACATATGTGTACAAAAATAATTAATCTCAATTACGTGAAATAATCTTATAATGCACTGTGAACTGCAAGTTATAACACTATAGCTTATATCGATTTGTATGTTAAAAATATTTTTTGCTTAGTACTTCTCGTATATGTCTCTCGTATATATCTCACGATTTGATTAATTATAACAATTACAATTTATTTACGGGCACGTAATTTACAACTATGCCACATATCACGCAAACTAAACATAATATTCAAAGTACAAATGTTAATACAAATGATATGGTACTTTATTGAAGCTATAAAGATCTGTCTATCAATGTATCAATTGCTTGGAGAGCACCAGACTATATGGACATTTAATAATATTATCACGAATATAATCAAATATTTTTATTTCGTTTTTTATAGCATTTTATTTCTCACATTAAACTACGTATGTCAAACTCTTTGCTATAAGGTATAGTAGATCAAAAGCATTAATAATTTTTATAATTAAAATAATAACGCAAGCAACAATGAAATTACACGTGTCAAAATTTTATTTGAAATAAGGAAATCTTATTCAATGTGAATGCAAAGTTTATAGTTTTATTACAAATTTTCGTTTTACGCTAATATAATTTCAGATAAATAAGACAGTAGCAATTCTTTATAAATTGTTCAATTATAATCTCGATGAGGACTTACGTGAACAGGTAAATAATTACAAAAAAGTTTTAACTGCATTATGTGTAATTTTACTAGCGCTTAAAATTCGGATACCTACATGAATTTCATCGAATAATTATGTACAAAATTGAGACATTACATAACAATTGTGTCAATCTTTTATATATTTTAAAGTACTTGTACACACATTCTAATGCCATAAATAAGGATAAAATATAAAAAGATTTAACAATTATTTTTTATTTTATATAACAAAAGCGAGTTTTTGAAAGTTGTTTCATATCATTAATACGTATGTTATTATCATGCTATCATACTATGAATTCCACTGTATACACAAATCGACTGTATACACTCACACGTAAAAAAATCTGGCTAAAATTTTTTTCACAAATTTTTAATATTTTCAAACAGCAATAACTCAGTGAAAAATCAACGTATCGAGATTTTAGAAAAAACGTTTTAAAACTTGAAATCTCTATATTTCAGACCAGTACTTAAAAAAACGGTACTACTGATATTTCATAAAGTTACACAAACATAAATGAAGATAATTACAATAGAGAATATAATATACAATTCGCTCGTGTAAATTTCAAACAATAAGTCATAAGAACAATACCAGGTCTTTTTAAAACCGAAATTCACGGGAATTTGTCAAAAAATGAATAATAAAAAGTTTTTTTGTGTACATCTTATAATGCTCAGTTTTTAAAAAGACCTGGTATTGTTCTTATGACTTATAAATGAAGATGCATAAATTCTCAAAATCTTTTATGAAATTTGCGAAGTTTCAAGACGCCAATTATAAATTGCACATAAATGGGGTTTATAGCTTTCGAAAGAGCGAATTTGTACCTTTAATTTGCTTTTTTATAGACCTCTGTATGTTTTTTGTCACCGAGTTATTCAAAATGGAAGCAAAATGGTCAGTGACCCATCGGCAATCCCGTAGCTAGCCCCTTGCTAGAGTTTCCGCAGAGAGGAGTCGACCGCCCGGCAGGGGTGCGTTCCAAAACGCAACTTTGGTAACTGAAATCTATAGTTAACGTAACGTAAACTATAGCTTTTTAGTAAAGTTACGTTTTGGAACGCACCCCAGCGGATATCCGAGCTCCCACCGTGGTTTCTCTTTGTCCTTGTCCATGTTCTATGTTATCGTGGTCGACGATGGGTATTAGCTCCGGGGGCTCGCCTGCACACCGAACCGTCCTCTTCAATCCCTACTGGTGCAGTCTCCTTTGATGGCGAGGCTTCCACCAGAGGAGGGTCACGCTCTCCTGCTTGTCTTGCCTGTTGTTCAGGTAGCGTACTTGGGGTATTAATTGTTCTGTGGATACTCTATCCATATCCTCTTCTGTCGTCTTAAGAGGATCCCTTCGGTCCTTTCCGACCTTTCTCTCCGCATGTCCAAGGAAAAGGGGACAATTCCCCGCAAAGTCGTCTTGAAGGACTCAAGGCGTATGTTCTCTCGCCCGTCCTACGTCGAATAGCCCTTTGATACGAGGTCGCCCAGTCTCGCCTTCACCCTAGGTCGTTGACCCCCGGTCTCTCCGCACAGAAGAGACCCAACTCCACAGAAAGCCGATTCTCATGATCCGACCCTCCCACTCGCTATTCGTTCTCTCCTGGCCGCAAAGACTACCCTCCTCTCACTCGAGGGGGACGTTTATAGAGCATTCCTCCTCGCCGACCGGGAATTTGCAGTCCCGGCCG